GACATTGTCCACCACAGGAGATTTAGGCATGGCTGACAACATTGCTAGGGATTTCAGTGCAGCAGTGGCAGTGCGTGTGCTCGGTAATACTCCCATGTTTCTGAAAGAGGGTGAATGGAGTGGGCACAGACAAGTCATAAGTAGCTGTGGCAAGCAGTGTGACTGCAAGTAAGCTAACTGCTTCTCAATAACTGGCATATGTACGGCAACATTTATTTCCTTTATAAGTTTAGCAGCAAGTGGTCTGCAGGTTGCTCTGTTGCACTTAGGCCCCATTCACACTTGCATTTGGGGCAGTCTTGTGAATTCCTCCATATTGCAAACAGAAGTGCTATACAAAGCAATTACAGCTTACAATGCCCGTTTACAAGTAATCAGACATACAGCAATAACCTGCGGATGATCAATGTCAATGGCCACGGGCTCCGTCAGCGCTTTGTATAGCACCTCCCATATGCAGCTGTGCGCATTAGTATCATGAAGAAATTTATGAAAATACCCCAAATTCAAGTTTGAATGGGACCTAAAACATGTTGTTTCAATGTAAGTCTAACAATAAATTTAAATGAGCATATCTTGTTAATGACCCAAAACTATTTATAAATGTGTGGTTTAGCAAAACAATACATTGTATACCTACTACACTAAGTAAATCAAAGTGTGGTGCAATACATTGAAATCATTACAATATTACAATGCAGGAAGACAGTACCTCTGCAGAGATTTGTTCAACACCCAACAGTGAAAATTTAACAGCATATTCAGCTGTGGTTAGCGTGTTCTCCTCCGGCGGAATGTCATTCGTGTGTACAACCTCACCCTTCCTTTTCTGCGTCTTTTTCTGCGCCTTTGAGCTTTGCCCTTTTGTTTTGTTTTGTCTGAAGCGAGCAAGCTGCACATGAAAGTGAAGAACAGATAGAGAGAAAGGTAAGTAAGGAACAGGTAACAGGGCCACAAAATAAGTGAAGTCATTATCTGCTAAAAAACAGGCGTGCATTGATGCAAAAACAGCAACAAAAGACAGTTCAAATGATCTAGGAATAGAAGGTGCTGATGAAAACCATTATCAGCATGTTGGAATGGACAAAAACAGACTCAAGGAAATGGCATAGTACAAACAAGTTGCTTAAAAAATGATAAAAAGTATGTTGAGCGTTAGCAAATAAAACGATTAGTTCAGATGCCCCAAACGAAACATACTATAGCCTAAACATATCTACAAATGAGACAATAATCAGCTTGGAAAGGATTAGGGATTTAAATGTACACCTACTTAACACTGCAATACCTGCACCACAGTGAAGACAGAAATCCATGATATTCACAAGTGTCTGTGAGCTGGTAGATTTACATATATATGAAGAACATATGGAAAAGGGCAGTAATTCTATTAAAGAAAAGCAGAATGATGATTTTAAATGACCAGCTACTAAACAATCCAAAATGTTACTAGTCTCAATATGAAGTAATAATGCTGCTGCTCTCCCTCAAAAGTCAGCTCCTAGCAAAGCCCTAAGTGAGGGGGGATTCTCCCTGAAGGAGACAGTAGGGGCCATTTTCACCAGCCCAGTCCACTACAGGGCATTTTACACAAGCAAGTTAATGGAGAAATAAACTAGAAATGGCATTGCATGTAGACAGGCTCTTTACTGCAGAAGAGGCATGCTATGTGCTATGCTAGAACTTGAAAGGGTGTCTTGTTTTGTATTGGGAAAGTATAGGGACAAATGAGAATGGTAAGAATGGTCAAAGTCCATCTCCTTTGCAGAGTGTAGTTGGGAATGAAGAGGAGTGAACTGTCAACTATCTCTACTCAACCTCTGCTTATGCATCATTTGATATGCCCAGATTTAGGACAGATTTGCTTAAACAAATTCCTATGCTTTATCTTTACTGGATAAAAAAAACATTTACTTGAATGCAGACTAGGGATGTTCCGATACCACTTTTTCAAGACCAAGTACTTCCCCTCATGTACTTGCCAATACCAATTACCGATACTTTTTCTTAAAGGGACAGGTGACATTTAAAAAAAAAAAAAAACATACAGACTTAATGATTTTAGGCCAATTTCTTTATGACTATGAAAAACTTTAATTTAAGACTGTTTTAGAACAATAAAACATTTTATTGAAAACACTGCACGCTTATTCGCATGCAGATGATGGGGCAGCGGGGCTGGTTTTCATTTACTTTGTAAAGTTTTTTAAAATTTTCATTTTATTATTTTTACTTTATCGCCTTTTAATTTTTTTACATTTTTAATTAGTAATTTTGTTTACTTTTTTTTCACTTAACTTTATTGCTATCACACATGGGCTAACAAACCCCTGTGTGATAGCATTTGGAGGTGACAGGTACTCTATTGACCCTGTCACCTCTATAGAGGAGTTCTAGCACAGTCCTGTGCTAGAACTCCTGTGACAAGAACGAGCAGCGGCCGGGGACAGAGGCTGAGGGAAGTGACAGAGCCTGTCACAGCTCCACGCCCCCTGCCCTCACCGCTCCATGCCCCCGAATTCAACAACGATGTGGAAGCATGCTAGCATCGGTATCGGAACATCCCTAATGCAGACCTTTACTGACTCGTATACTTTCCTTACTTGCATGCTGCTCCATTCACCCTATGAGATTGAAAGGAAACCATAATAAAAAGCAAGATGCACTATGGGAGTCAGTAGGTGACTGAGCCATGAAAAATACTACAAGGTGAGCCTTCATTACATTACATTACGTGTAATGACTCGCCACCTGGCTTCCTGATTAACAAGAAAGTCCCCTTTTACCTTGGTATGTCCAGCCTGTCACCCCCAGGGCCTCTCCAGCCAGAACGCGGCCTTCCTCCGGTACCCAGCCGGAGCAGTCTGGCCGGCCAATCAGGAAACCGGGCGCCGTGTAATGACGCGATGCCCTGCTTTCCGATTGGCCGGCTCCATGCTCCCTCGTCATGAGATGACGAGAGAGCATGAAACCAGCTTCCCGGCCAATCAGAATGCCGGGCGCTGCGTCATTACACGGCGCCTGTCTTCCTGATTGGCCAGCTTCCCGACCAATCAAGAAACCGAGCAGCGTGTAATGACGCGCTGCCCGGCTTCCTGATACAGGAAGTACTCGTGCTAGGCACCGCAGCATTAGGGCGAGTACGAGCACTCGCCCAAATACTTGGTATCGGCACCGATATCGTTACTAGTATCGGTATCGGTGCATCCCTAGCAAATACATAAATATAAAAGAAAAAAGGAACAGAAGCTTCACTAAATACTGCAGTTATACAGCCCCAGCAACACTGACAGGCATCTTCAACACTGAAACAAAAAAAAGGAGAAGACCATTTATTGATACAAAAATGCCATATATGGTTATCATGTAAGACAACACTCCATGTATGTATCCATCAGAAAAAAAAATGTGTCCACAACCCAGTTATCCTTCCATCTTGGATGACAAAACAAGAACATAAGATGTATTCCTCCAGGTTATATTTCTTTGCCCCATCTTTACCATTTCCCCCCTTTTTGTGTGACCAAATATTAAACCTTCAAGGTTATTGTTTTATTTTTGTGAATGAGAGGCCCACACTTCCACAAATCTTCCATTCTTTTTGTTTAAAAAAAATGTGCAATTCTTCATTCTCTATTGGGTCCCCACATCGCTCTCCCTCTCGCCCCCTGCACAGGTGCCTCCATCAGCTAGGCAGCTGCTATGGAGGCACCCATGCGCACATTACGGGCCATACCCGCATCCATAGACACACACAGAAGGTGGCAAGCCATGTCCCCCCACTCCTAGTCACACTTTGACAGCAGAAGGAGCCTATGGCTCCTCTGCCCCCAGTATCGTACCCTGTGCTCTGTTCACACCAGTGCAGTCCGTTCCAGACCAGCAAAAATACTGCACGTCTCATTTTGTCTGGTCTGGAATGCACTGGAACTGCAGCAGGTTCACACTATTTTCCAGACTAGATCTGACTAGAACCTGCCCTTAAAGGCCTTTAACATGTGATGTGTCAAGGCAGCCCATTTACTGCAAGAGCTGCCTTTACACCAAAAAAAGGTGCATGTGGCATTTTTGGCAGCGCACCACATCACATGTTAGTGTGTTACTGAAGTGAAATAGTGTGAATGGGCTCTTACAGATCTAAAAATAGAAATAAATCAGCGTGCAGACTTGAACTTTAAAGCATTACTCCGGGCAGTTACCACAATCTTAAAGTGACACTAAACTCAGGAGTTCAGTCTTAAAAATACAGTCAAGTACCTGAACAACAAAAATGTATCTTATTTGTGTATCACTCGGCTGTAGATCCTCAAATCATCTCTGAATTGGTGCCGACACTGTCCTTCCTTCTGGAGGGTGGCTACTTTTGTTCCCCATGGTCACTGTGTGTGTTGTAAAGTAGTCACCACTCCAAGCTCGCTCCTGTGATGAACTACAATCTCAATACAAATTAGTACACTAAACCTGAGCCTGTAGTCCTTCCCGGGAGTGATCTTGGACTGGTGACGACTACTTTACAGCAGCTGTAGCTGTCAGAGTCTTGCAATGGCTCATGGGACGTGTAGTATCACCACAGCTGGAGGTCCAAAGTTTGGCTACTCCTGGTCCAGGCAAAACAATAGCAACTGTGGAGGAAGAATTGGAATACATTCCAGCTCAGTTTTTCAGGCACAGTCTGCAACCCTAGGACAGTCCCTAAAAATACTGGACGTGTGGCAATTCGGCACTGTCTCAGGAGACACAAACATTGTCGGCTGACGGAAAGCTTTGAGAAAACTGGAAAGAAAAAGTTTCAACATTCCACAACAACGGATGCCTCACCTTATCCCTCCCGGCCTGCACTTTCCTCATCCGCTGCTCCTCCGCCGTCCCGTCCATACTTCACTAACTGTCACTACACACACTCAACATGGCGCTAAGGAGCCCGCCTCATCCGCCACACACAAGAGCCAATCGCCTAAATAAGTTTAAACCAATAACAACGCGGGCCTTAGGGCCCCGGCGCGCCCACAAAACGAACTGCTGCTTTTGTTCTCTGATTGGACAAGTTCCAGATAAGGAGCCGCCCAACTGAGGGCGGCCCCTCCCAGTTGCTATAGGAATTGGATTCTCCACTGACGCTGAAAAGAGGTTCCTGTCTCCGCCCCCTGTACGTAAACAGACAACTTTTAAAAACCTGTGGATGCCACCACGCCCTCTGGAGCTATCGGCCAATCAGGAACAAAGAGGTAAGGGACCGGGAAATGCAATTTAGAAGCGCCATCCAGTGTTTATTCCCGGTAGCCGCTGGAGGCCAGTTAGTAAGTAGTAAATGGGATGGTGATATACCCTTATCATGCGCTGTTAAATGCCTCCACCAGCTGATCGAGTATCTAATGTTCTTCTACCTTCAAGGCAAACGGAAGATCTGCTCTCCTACCAGCCCCCCACTGCTTGACCAAAATAAACAACATAAAACCATTCATTAACCTGGTTGCGGACTCCAGCACTTCTGATGGATGTTCACTGTTCCGGGCCTGCATAGGTATCACTTGTTCTACCTGATGAAGGGGATCCTGTGAGACACCCCCCAAACATTGCATTGAGTGCATCACGCTATGCTGCTCGCACGTCAATAAACAGACGTATTTGATTCACTATTTGGAGTGTAGGTGTCTCTAGATATCCTACTAGTTAATATCACGGAGGCCAGCCGTCGACAGTCGCAGCACCCACCTTTATTACTTTGGAACGGCAGTTTCGAGTGCGATGGGTTCCTGGGCTTTACCCTTAGATTAGGTGTCCCCCCACCAGCGTGCCCCCCCTTACTAGGGATGCACATATACTAGTATCTGTGCCAATCCAAGTATTTGGGGCAAATACTCTTACTCACCCAAATGCTCCGATGCTTAGCCCGCTATCTAAGCTTCTGGCATCAGGAAGTCGGGCAGCGAGTCATTACATGCTGCCCGGCTTCCTGATTGGCCAGTAAGCCAGCTCCATCACTTGGTGATGAGGAAGCATGGAGCCGGCTTCCACGCCAATTGGGAAGCCGGGCAGCGTGTAACGACTCGCCACCTAGCTTTCCGATTGATTGGAAAGCTGGCCAATAAGGAAACCTGCCTCCTTAATGTAAGGGGACACCTAATGTAATTTTTTTAAAGGGGAGCCCCAATGTAATTGAGCACTCTAATAGGGACACGTGAAGGGACGGGGTACTCTGATATGGACACCCAATATATTTGATATCCCCAGCATAGTGCCCCCCTTACATTGACTGTTCACATCAGAGTGCCCCTTTATTTGTGTGTTTAATGCAAGGACGCAACAAATGTAAGGGGGCACTGATTTGGACCATAAGTAATGGACCCCATCAGAGTACCTTCTTACAGTGGTTGTCCCTAGAGTGCCCCTTAAAAAGCTGCCCAATGAGTAGGCATGCAGTGCTGGGAAGAGCCAAACACCAGGCTGCAGGGAGGATAAAAGACAATACACTTCCGTCCTCGCTTAGGGCCCAGTCACACCATATCCAGTGCGTTCCAAAGCGGTTTGAGCCCAGAATGTACTGGGATTGTAAAGATCAAGCCAGGGAGCATTCTGGGGCAGGAGGGAGCATGTTATCGCCACTCATGTCAATGGCACCAGACACACTCCCTCGCCAGCAAGGGAACGTGAGGTACAAAAATGCCCTACACACAGTTTTCTTCCCCCAAAATGGCACTGCACCAGAACAGAGGACATTCCTGTAACTCAGGCAGAGCATGTCCACATTTCCATTAACATGAATGGCACTGACCCACTCCTCTATGAAATACAGTGCATTCTGGGATCGATCCTTACCAGAACACACTGGATATGGTGTGACTGGGCCCTTAATGCTGGATAGGGAACAAAGATGACGAGATTGATGGTGGGAACGCTGCAGTTCTCGAAACCAATGACTGAGGAGGAACAGGGACCTGCACTGGGGTGTGGCTGGCTGACAGTGGATGCCTCAGGCCAGTGCATCCACTGTTAAGCAGCCATAACATAGTCAGTGATAATGAATGAGGGCAAGCACTGATGTGAATGTGCTCGTCAGCAATTATATATAAAATACCAGTAATAGATAGTGCTGGGAGTTACTAGCGTACCCACTAACTTCAATGATGGGGAATTATTATTGCAGCCACTGGCAACAATTCTGAAGTTTATTATTGCAAATCACTGGCACCAATGATGGGGGTTATGGCAGACACTAGCACCAATACTGGGGTTTATTAGTGCAGTCAATGATACCAAGTCAGGGGGGTTATTTTTAATGCCCACTAACATTAGGATTAACACAGCCACTGACATCAACAGTCAGGATTATTGCAGTGTCCATTGACACCAACGCTGGGGGATACTACTGTGGCCAGTGACATCAATGCTGGGAGTTACGCTATGGACCTCAATGATGGGGGCTTATTTTACTCCCCACTTTGTTTTCACTGTGTGTACTCACTAAGTGACTGTGCAGGCCTCAGTGGGCAGAAGTAAAGTGATCTGACATCAGCCACTGACAGCACGCTGCTACACCACCATAAAATGGGAACTTGCTGGCTGTGGCCATTAGACAGGAATCTTTCACTACCATGCCGTTGTGATTACAGAAGGGCAAGCCCAGCTGCATTGCTGCCAGGACTGCCCAATGTATCCATAGCTGCTGTATACTGTCCAACCAGCATAATGCTAATCCATGGCCGCCTGCCAACACTGCATCATTGGTTACGGTGCTGGCAGCCAACTCAGCAACACCATGTAAGTGCATGGCACTGTGCAGCCTGGCCTACTGCATCCTAGCAAATCAATTCTAACAGAACTGTAAGTGATGACGACAAATGAGAATGCAGCAAGTTTAGAAGGGTGGGTGACAACACAAGCACCAATGCCCTTCTGACATCCTTAATGATTTGGATAATCCCAGATGAGTGGAAGAAACACACAAATGGGTGAGCGCAGGGGAGGAGACACACACATGGAGCAATAGGCGTAGGGAGCAAATGCTGCCGGTCACACACTGTAGAGGGAATGGTGCTTAGCAATATTGCTCTACTTTAGTACTGATGTCAGTGTTCTTCATCTTATTAAACTATTTCAGGGACCATTAACCAGAAGTTACTTAAGCATGCATACTGAAGTTGTTTAGTGGTGGAGCGCCTGCTACCACAATGTGCTGTCAGGGGGCACCCCAAGCACCTTCTCAGGCCTTTACAAAAATCAGTACTGACATTATAACCACATACAGATTGTATATCTGTGGACATGTTTAGAGAGGCGTCAGTACAGGACTATTTGTAAATCAGTAGATATGTTTATAGTGGTATATCTGGAGATTATAGCACTGTCAGTACAGTACTCATTGCAATTTGTTGATTAGGAGCACTCTGCTCAGTTTTCTATACATTTGTTATTGGGAAGTGCTAACATTTTGACTAATCTAATACTGAATAAAATTCAACACATAATCTTTTATCCATATAACGTTACCAGAAAGGAAAGACTAAAATGTGCACCCTAAAAAAACCCCACAAAACACCTTCCCCAGTAGTAGATCTATGGAAATAAAACACAAATAAGTGCGCCACATACTTTTTATTGTTACAGTATAAAGATATTGTTTTTGGAATGTTAGTGGTGAAAAAGTCGCAGGTTTGTATGTGCCAAAACGATTCCCAGCTCATCACATGCCTCAATTACCACCTTGTCAGCTGCGGAGCCTGAGGGAGCAGCAATGTACTGAACCCCACTCTAAAAAGGAGAAAAAAAAAAAAAAAATGTATGATAATAAAAAGTACACCATTTCCAACGCTATAATTTTTAATACACAGTGAGGATTTTTATTGGTCTGTCACCAGGGATGTAATGAGGAGCATCTCCCTGATGGGTGCAAGCAAAACCCCCAATAAAAGGGTTTTGACCCTTCCCTACAAGTCTTTATTGCCGTCTGTGTCCCTATTGCAGAGAGCTCCCCTCACTTCCCGCCTCTGTCACTGAACAAGACCTCAGGGTAGTTTTACTCTTGAAGACTGAAGTTACCTGGAAAACTTTAACATGCACAAAAGTGTATGATACCTGGAAACCCACTGAGCTATATAGGGTTATCTGCCACCCCTCACTACTGTGGGACCAGGCATCTGGCAGAAGGATTTTCAGCCCACTTAACTTAAGTGAGGGAAGATGGACATTACTGGGAGAGGTATTAGCCATTTCTTTACAGATGTCACATTCAGCTGGACTTGTTCCAATGCTGAAGTTAACTTAAGAGTGTGTAAGAAAAAAATTTAATTTAAACCACTCACTTTATTGCCACCAC